GAGTAGCTCTACCTAGCAAAATCTGTATACGTAAATAGTAACTAAAACATTACTTAACTCAAGTTCTTAAATAGTTGTACGTTTTAAATGTATTACTCAAAAACTTACATATAAAATAAAAAACAAACTTACCCCTTATGGAGAAATGGTTACCGTTGGAAAAAAGTATTTATCTACTCATCTTGCACTGTACATCAACCATTCAAAAGCTATGAAAACATGGACCCCGGCTACTTGGTCAGCTATGCAGCGATTTAAATACATCATAATACAATAGGTCGTAACTGACCAATACCTGCAAAACTTAACTGAGGTTCAATAAGGTAACAAAAGTATAGAGGTCCAGTAAAGGGTAAATAAAATAAAAACCATAAACATGATAAACATAATGTAAATTCAATTAAAATCAAATATTGATTGTGACAATGACCCAGAGACCAAGAAATATACAGGACGTAAAAAAACGGGAAGTTTCCTCTTTAATAGATTAATGTATTCACCATGATTTTAGAACAGAGGAAGGAAAGATTTGCACAATAGAATCATGTCACACTAGACGTTCCTTTACGAAGTGAGACAAAATTTTGGATGTCTTGTAAGTATGCCATTATAAATACGTCCGCCGTGTTCAACTGCTGGTCTCACACCTCTAGTTCGCCCAATATGTGGGACAGAACTTTGGCTGTCTGATACATTATTTCACTAACATATTCCTAACCATAGACATTTGTATATTTGATACAAATATAATTATGTTCGATAGAAAAGGCTTTATGAACGTCATATAAGGCTTTGAGACATAAATATTTGTCTTTTAATCAATACGTGTGAATTATATCAAGTTTAGGTCTTTATTTACTATTCATTCAAACATTTCTTTTACCTGGTCAAATTAATTAATATTTGTTTAAAATATATTTTTTTTATTATGATTAACATTTGCACTGCATGATGCATGTTTCTTTTTTTATCTTTGAATAGATAATTCATATGTTATATTTTTTATTTCGTTAGTTAGAGAAAAGTAAACTTATGTTATTACTTTTCGGCATGATAGTGGATATATTTGCCTACCTGGAGGAGATCCGGGTAACTTAATCATGTATCCAAGCGCGACCAAGGGTAACCGCCCTAACAACGATCATTTCTCTGAGTGAAGTAAAGGAAACATCACGTTAGTCTTTGACGCAGTAGTCAACGAGAGGAATGGAAAGTCTAACTGCTTAAAATGTTTGTATCACCTTATATAGTTACTGTATGTATAATAGCAGAAAAGTGTCATAATCCAACTGCTTTAAATGTTAGTATCACCTTATTTAGTTACTGTATATATATTGAAGGATTGAATGATTGTATGTTGTTTAAGGTCTCTTTTGAGAATTTTTCACTCATATGGAGACGCCACCACTTGCCGGTGGAAGGCTACAAATTTTTGTTTTATGCTCGGCACTCAGGACCTTTGAGCACTTAGGGATCTTTTTCGTGCCAGCACCTACTGCGACACGGGGCCTCGGTTTATACGGTCTCATCCGAAGGACCGGTCTCCACGTCTCCCAGTGGGATTCGAACCCGCGACGTACAGATTTACTCCTTACTTCGCGACTCTATAGCAGACGCTCTAACCACTGCTCCACGTGGGCGACTTTATTGTAGGAGAAAAGTGTCATAATCCAACTGCTTTAAATGTTAGTATGTCATCTTATTGTATATATCAAAGGAGAAAAATGACCTAATCCACATGCCTTAAATGTAAGTGTCACATATTGTTATTATATATGAAAGGAGAAAGTAACATAACCCAACTGCTTTAAATATTAGTGTCATCTTATAGTTACTGTATCTATCATGGAAGAAAAGTGACGTTATCCAACTGGTTTAAATGTTAGTATTACCTAACATATACTGTATATATCACAGGAGAAAAGTAACATAATTTAACTGTTTAAAATTTTAGTGTCACCTTATAGTTACATGTACTGTGTATAACATATGAGAAAGGTGTCACATTAATGTTACTGTAAATGTCATATGAGAAAGTAACATAATTCGACTGTTTTAAATGTAACTGTCACCTTACTGCACATATCATAGGAGAAATTAGCATAATCCTACTGATTTAATGTTATTGTCTTCTTAGTGTTACTGTATGCATTAAAGTAAAAAGTAAAATAGTTTGATGAAGTCATGATAAGGAGTGAGAAATACTATTCCTCAACATAATAGGTTCCTCTATTAATCGTTTTCATAGGTTTACTCTCTCTCTTCATATTCTTTAAGATTTCAAAAATATCTAAGTTAGGGAGTTGAAGAAATTAGGAATATGTACATGTATTGATAAACATATTATGATATCTAATTTTAGTTTGCCTTGTATAAAATAAAAAAAAATTATATGTGAGTAAAATTCTTTGTAGCATCGGGTGCGGTATTTTGTGTTAATGGTATAGTATAGTCGGGGGAGCAGTGTGATTGCGGATAAGGATGAGTGTACAGACAGGCGCTGCCACCCTCGGAGCAGCGACCCAAACGACAAACTGATGTGTACATACAGAGATCCATCATTTAAATGCAGGTGAGGCAATGATTATTTCTTTTTTTTATTTTGAATTCATATCATACCTAACAAATTAGGAAAACACTATTTTTAAAAGAAAATTTGAAATTGGTTTAGGGAAATATCACTTTTGTATCTTCGAATGCTCATACTTTAAAATTGTAATCTTCTTTCCAGATGTCTGTAGAATAAAATTATACAAGTCATGTATTCTTAACCTATTATAACATACAATAGTTGAGACTGGGTTTCATTTTGAAAAGCAATCATTTTTAAATACTGTTGAATCATTTAAATTCGTAAGGGACAATTTCAATCTTTGTTTAGAATTGACAAGTTTGTCTCGGGAAATGATTTTATGTACATTACTGATATTAAAAAATGAATATGACTTTGAACCTATAGAATATTATTTCCTAGAGAATACAAACTCGTGGATGAACAAGAATTCTGTTTATATCTAGTCAACAAGAAATATATTTCACATTTATCACAAAAGTAAGATTCTTGATTTTTCAATTATTTCCTGATCACGACAAGAAGCACACAGCGAGCGTACCAGTCAGCAGGGGATACTCACAATAAAGATTCTTGTACTGGGAGTTGTGATTATAAATCAGTTAATACCTCTACCTGTCTTGTATTCTTTGTAGTCCAACAAAAGGACCATGTTGAGGATTGTAATTATAAACCAGCTAATATCTAAACCTGTCGAACCTCCACAGATTGTAGTCTAGAAGAAAAATGCAAATGCCCTTTTCCAAACAATAATTACTAGTTACACTTCAGCTTCTTTTTATGAAATTTTAGAATTTTTTTTCAAAAAAACAGAAGTATGTTCATTTTTTTTTGGAATCTTCTAACAATATTATTTATAATCAAAGACAAAATAATTGAACTAACCCCCCCCCCCCAAAAAAAAAAAAAATGTTTGAAATAGTATTAGCAATTACATTGAAAATGCCATGATATTACGTTTACAATATAAAAGGATATTACTGTAAAGTATAAATAACACAATCCAAAAATAAAAGGGAAAATCAAAATTCCCTTTTTTTGACCCGTTATTTCATATCTGCAGTCAATTTCAATGCAACAAGTAAAGAATAAGCCTTTACAAGTCAAAGTTTGAGGAACGTTCCTCAGTCTTTGACTTCTAAAAGCAAGAAAACAAGGCACATAAGATCCACTTCTCACTGGAGATCTTCTGTAAGTCAGAATTAATTTGAGGAACATTCCTCCTTCCAATGTATTTATAGGTATCCAAAGCAATCAAGGAACGCCCCCTTTCCGTTTGGCTTTTACCTGCACAATGGATTCGAGGAACGTTTAACTTTTTTAGTCTGTTTCTTAAGATAAACAAAATATCTTGGTAACGTCCCTCCTTTTTTTATTCAGACTTTAAGATTTACAAACCATTTGAGGAACGTTCCTCTCTTTCATTCCAACTTTAAGATTTACAAAGTATTTGAGGAACGTTCCTCTCTTTCATTCAGACTTTAAGATTTACAAAGCATTTGAGGAACGTTCCTCTCTTTCATTCAGACTCTAAGATTTACAAAGCATTTGAGGAACGTTCCTGTTTTTCGTTCCAACTTTAAGATATATAAAGTATTTGAGGAACGTTCCTCTCTCTCATTCAGACTTTAAGATTTACAAATCATTTGGGGAACGTTCCTCACTTTCATTCCAACTTTAAGATTTACAAAGTATTTGAGGAACGTTCCTCTCTTTCATTCAGACTTTAAGATTTACAAAGCGTTTGAGGAACGTTCCTCTCTTTCATTCACACTCTAAGATTAACAAAACATTTCATTTCAACTCTAAGATTCATAAAACATTTGAGGAACGTTCCTCTCTTTCATTCAGACTCTAAGATTTAAAAAGTATTTGAGGAACGTTCCTCTCTTTCATTCAGACTTTAAGATTTACAAAACATTTGAGGAACGTTCCTCTCTTTCATTCAGACTCTAAGATTAACAAAACATTTCATTTCAACTCTAAGATTCATAAAACATTTGAGGAACGTTCCCCTCTTTCATTCAGACTCTAAGATTAACAAAACATTTCATTTCAACTCTAAGATTCATAAAACATTTGAGGAACGTTCCTCTCTTTCATTCAGACTCTAAGATTTACAAAGTATTTGAGGAACGTTCCTCTCTTTCATTCAGACTTTAAGATTTACAAAACATTTGAGGAACGTTCCTCTCTTTCATTCATACCCTTAGATTCACTAAAAATTTGAGGAACGTTCTTTCTTCTAATCTAATTCTTAAATATGAAAAAAAATAGTTAAGAGATTATCTTCTAATTAAATCTGACTTTAAGATTTACAAAACATATGAGGAACGTTCCTCCTCTTTGAGTTAAGTTTCTTATTTCAATCAAATTAAAATTAAACATCCAAGGAATAACATAATACAGTAATAGTTCAACACTTGCATTGAAAAATAAACTTTATCTGTTTCAATGATACATGTACAGAGAAAAAAGATTTTTAAAAAAAATAGCTTCCTTATAATTATACGTTCACTACATTAAAGTGTACAATACTTTATCAAAAAAGGAAAAAAATCCTTCTCATTACTTAGATAGATAAGCAGAACCATACATTTTTCGTTTTCTGAGAATCAGGTACCAAATTGCAATGTGACATCAATTCTTAAAGATTGCTTTAAGCTTATCTATAATGTATCCAGGCAAAACTTTCTCTTGAATAAAATTAAAATGGCAAGCCACGCGTGTGTTCTGGACAACATCTGGGTCACATCCAAGAAATTCAGGGTTGAGTTCCCATGTGGAATTGTACCTTCCTGTTAGCCAAGAAACCTTCAATTTAGATTTTAAGACTTCATTGACAAGTGCCAACCAAGGTTCTCCATCAACAATATCCTTCTTTCTGATTGGCTTAATGGCCACAACCATATTCCTTTTTATGTCTTCAGCACCCTCTTTGAAATTCCATTGATCTGGTTGAAGAGCGCTTTTCTTTGGTGGTGGAATGTCCATATCTTCTGTTGAATCTGTGTAATGAAATTGATACCAACCTAATCATTGCAATTGATTCTCTTACAGAGCAACAGTAAGGGTTAAAGTAGGTAAACTGAATGGTTTTTAAAATAGTAGACAGTTTCAGAATTGGAATGCAGATCATTTCATTAACCTTATACATAGATTTAGTGGACTTTGATAATTCCAAAATAGGTTGGGGCCAATGTAGACTTTTGAAAATCGTCTATGACTCATTTAATACACCATTTAGCTTAATTGATACAACCATTTAGCTTAATTGATACAACTGCATTTGAATCAGCATTGAAGTAAAAGAAATTAAGCAGTCTTGTAAGGATATTTCAGATTGCCATTTTCAAATTACCTGTAATACTTTTCCTTTTGCTGCAGGATTTTTCTTGCATTTCCTTTAAGATCCTGCATTCTTTTGTTGCTTTATTTAGTTTTTCCTATTAAATAAAACACAAATATAACTTAATTGTATAATCATATTTTTTGTTAAACCTTTACGAAAATTTTCCTATACAAATCTATATGAAAAAAAGTCCAACATATCTAATGTTTTGCTCAAATCAAACTGTTTGCCTTCAGCCCAACAGCCTCAGGCAGACAGTTTGGTTCTTGGGTCCGACAAAACACATGTTGCCCTCAAACTCATTCAATAAATGTATAACGTTTTTTTTAAATATTTTCTGATCTAGAAAATAAGAACTTGCCCTCAGTGACATTATTTCACGTAAATGCTGTTCGTTGTTTTTTTCTCTCTCTAACAGTTCCTCTTTCATTTTATCCTTCTCCATTGAAATGCGTTTCATATCATCCTCAAGCTCTTTTCTTTTGATTTTCAAATCATTGATCTCCTCTTCCCTCTTGGTGTCAGAGTCTTTCCTATTATGAATATACAATATGCATATCATTTAATTGTCATTTCATAAATCCCTAGATCTTCAAGTTGGCTTATGGTTTTAGAATAATTAAAACAATTTATAATTATGATGGTCCAGCATTTTAAACTAACAATTTTTGACAAATTTGATTTCTTCTGAATTTCACAAGCCCAGCATGAACATTAAGTTGATTTTAGTACGTGTATGATTTACCTTTAATGCTAAGTACATGACTCTGTAGTTGACCGAATCTTCTTGATTTTTTTCTACTTGATCCAATTCCTCTGTACGTAGCATGGGCTAAAATTGATATGTTTTATTAGTTAGTGTAAATAATAATAGATTTTGTTTATTTGCTGTGCATTGTTTAAAAAGTCTTTACTTTTTTTGTGGCAACATTCAGTGTTAGTGATTGACTTCAAATGGTGACTAACATAGTTTTATACATGTAAGAAACTTCTGTGCATCCTTACCCACAGTAAATAATCGACTACTTAAAATCAACTCCTTCAAATATATTTCACATTTGTTTCATCTCTTTAGTTTAGTGGTTCCAGGAACAAAAATACTGATTTATTTGTGTGTAAAACTTTCATCCCCAGATAGTTTCCAACATTTCCCCTAGTCATCCTGATGCAAACAATTCAAAATCTATAAATCTTACGTATGCTTAATAAAAAGTTACCAGTTTTATAGCCAGTATTACTTAAATGATTTTACAATGATCCAACCCTACTTTTGCTCTCATTATCAACTCTGAGTCCCATTGAAATCTAGGGAGTGTAGTTTTCTTTCGACCAAGGCAGATTTTGCTTCTCCCTTGGATGCTCTGGACTAACTTTCATGAATATTAACATAATGATGTTGTTGATGATCAGCTCACTCAAGCTTTCAGCTCATTTGAGTTGAAAGAACTGCGAACGATAGCATTGTTCTCTCGCCTACCTCCAAGTCAATTTTCTATAAGTTAACTTATTTGAAGAATTTTTAATATTTTTTATAGATAATTATATGGATTTTCATAAAACATTACTTATTTTGGAAAACAAAAAGAGATAACTCTTAAATGTTGGTAAAACTTGTTTTTTTTTCACTATAGAAATGAATGGAAAACGGAAAATATTTTTAAAACATCTTTACCCCCCGTGTTGCAAAAATTTGTTTTTACAGGTAATATGGAATGGTGTTTCACAAATTCATACCAAAGCTTTTTGACATGGGGGGGGGAACATATGTTTATTGACAATAACGACAAAAATGCTTATTTTTCCACCAATTTCAAAGCGATATACAACTGAAACATTATATTTTATTGAAATATTTATTGTTTTTTTATTTGCCTAAAACATAAGACAAGATATAAGGAACATTTAATCATATCCAAGACTATTTCAAAATACAGTGTTGCTTGAAACTCCGATTTCAATGGAAAATATCGTCTACCCCCCTTTTTTCAAGAGCAGAAATTATAAATAATTTACTGTTTAGCGCTGGTCTTAAGACAATTTATCAATTACCATTGAACTGTTCTTTGTATTAAACAAAGATTTAATGGCCAAATAGCAATTCATATTGAATTAATTGGTTACAAAATGTAGGCTGGAATCAAGAGTCAGCGTGCGTTTTTCTTTTAAATCTTACAGGGTTTATTTCAAAGACATTTATAGTCAAACACGTGGCGCAGTGGTTAGAGTGTCTGCTCTAGAGTTGCGAAGTAAGGAGTCAATCGCAGGTTTAAATCCCACCGTATAAACCAAGGTCCCGTGTCGCAGTAGGTGTTGGCATGAAAAAGATCCCTCCCTGCTCAATGGCCCTATTATACAAGAACCCGGAGAATATTTTATATAAATTTGCTGAATTCCCTTACCTAGTTATCTAACCTTATTACCACCCTGAAAGGTATTCAAAATAAAAAAGTCAAAATACCTCTTCTTCCACTTGCACTTCAGAGGACTTATCAGCTTCTGTGTCTCGAGAACTTTCTTCATTGCAGCTAGAATAAAAGAGGTTAATATTTATTTCATTTAAAAAATTGTGATCAAAATTCCTATCTCAATTCAGATATTTTTGACACACATCTATACTCGTATATATACATACTCTTTTGATCTGTTGCAAAGCACAGTCAACTCCTTAAAGTTGATTTCTCCATCATAATACTGCTGTAGCAAAGTTGTGAGGACGTCGTCCTTTACTCCGTCTATAGGTTTGAGAAGTCTTCCACTGACTTTGCCTATCTTCCTATCCCGCTTCAATCTCTCAATACATCTCAGAAAATTTTCCCAAACCTTAGTAGGAAGCTGAGCGAGCCTCAGTTCAAATCCAAACCGGTTGTTTAGAGTTTTCCTCTGAAAATGATTAATACAATTACCGGTAATACACTCTAATTAAACAATACTGTATTTGTAGACTTTAAAATTGTGTAAATGATAAAATATTAAGAAGTTATAAAGGTATAACCTACACTTATTGATCCCATGCACAGTTCAAGCCCCTTTTTCCATCGTCTTATCACAGCTTTCTATGTTGGTGTTTCAGTGGCCATCGTTTCTTGGGCAGATTTCATTCCTGCTTTTTCAAACAATGCAAACCTAAAAAAGGTTGCCCTGCTTACCAAATCTAAATCACTGCCCATCTTCCTAACTTCATTATGTTGATTAGCGATGTACTTTGCCTCATCTGGACTTAGATCTTGGTATATAAGGCACATTTTCAATTCAAATGGGGATTTGTTTGTGACGTCCTCCCTTCTTAATATGTTCTGGAGTGCTAGTCGAGAGTGGTTGCCTCCAATGACCTATACATGGCATTTGTCATAGTTTGCCTCAAACTCGCCACGGATGTTGACGACCATTAACTGAAAGTAATTCTGTGGTCTTAGAATGAATTCCTCCTCCAGTTCTTTAACATGTTTTTGGTCAGGCTCTCTTAGTAGATTGATGAAGTCCGGTTGAACTAAGTGCACAACTGGTAGTTCTTTATAGCCTATAAAATCAAAATTTATCCATTTTTTATTATACTGTCTAAATGATTCCCCAAATATGCAGTAAAAATCAGGAGTCAAACTACTATAAATCTAAGCAATAAGATTATCTTTGCCATCATATAAAATCAACTTTAGTTATCAAATGGCAATGATGTTTTATTACCTCTAAACTTTTCATGAATCCCTTCCAGAGTTTCTTTTTTGGTAACTACTGAAGTTTCCTTCTGCAAGACACCTGTTTCATCATTTGAAGTTTTCTCATTCGAGACATTTGTTTTCTCCGCCATAACATTCTGTTCCTCAGATGAAACTTTAACAACAAAAAATGTAATGCATTAGTGATTAAGGATTACTAAAGTATATGTAAGGTTTTGTAGCTTTATGTATGTTTATGCGTCTGAGAGGGGGTAGGGGTGTGTGTTCTTGTTTTAAAACGATAAAATAAAACTGTTTTAAAGAGGAGCAATTCTGCTCTGATGGAGACAAAATACAATACTGATTACACATACCATTGTCGCTACTGTCATTTACTTCTGTAGAATCTTTTCTTATCGGCGAGATATTAGCTGTTTTGTTAGGATCTAAAAAAGAAAATTTAAATGAGCATATAGTTTGAAGATTTATGCCAGTTTTCATACATATGTCTTAGGTAAGGTACTAGTAAGTTTATCAGCTAAGCCTGAGTCAGGCAAACTGGGTTTGAAACTTGAGCTGAACTCAGTAATCCTCACCTGAATTTAACTGAAAATGAAACTCCTATTACCGTAACTGCGGTCATGAAATCATTGCATTTGGTATAACATTAACAAAGAAACAACAGTGGACATCTGACACATGTAAATGAATGCACAACTTATATGTTAAGGACATCATACAAACAAAAATTGGATGCCTGGATTGATATAAATTTTTGGCCTAATTTTTATTGAAAATGATGTAAAAAATACATTTCTTGAATATAAAGGAATTGTAAACCCTCTGTGATGCTCAGAATTCTGCCTCTCTGGAGACATCCTTATTAATCTATACAAATAATGTTAACTTCAAATCCCATTTTTGTGGAATTAGAATAAAAAATAAAAAATTACGTGGTTAAACTTAATCATTTTACTCATGAAAACATGACTCAAGTTGTTATTTTCAAATATTTTGAAAAAAATTGTTTGTACTTGTATCATCTGTCCTTAACAGAAAAACTTTTCCAAAGGACAATTTATGTCCTGTCGGGTGTATGTTAGTTACTGTACTACAAACAATTGTATATGTGAAGTTTGATGAAAATATCTTGAATACTTTTTTTTAATTGAAATCTACAATTGTACACCTAAAATGTTGGATATAGATGATAAATTATAATCAAATATTGTAAAAGTGCATGCTTACATTAAAATATTTTAATATATGGTTTCTTTTAAACTAACCAAAATACAAATTTCATAAAAGGGAGGTTTAATAAGGTCTCAGGAAAGTGTATGATCAAAAGTTTTTCATGGAGTTAAATAACTCCCGAGTGATGGACATATTTTTGACTGATTTTGAATAGAAATGACATAAATGATATAGAGAATATTACATACTAAAATCCATATCATATGTCATATCAGCCCGAGTGGCCCCATATCAGCCCGAGGGCTGATATGGGGCCCGAGGGCTGATGTGACATATGATATGGATTTTAGTATGTAGTATTCTATTTATCATATATTCAAAATACTTAATATGCGAGTTCACATATGATCGTTGAAGAATGTTTGTGCTTGTTAGTGACATTTTTCTTTAAAATTTAATAGAGCCAATTTCAGGAAACTGGAAAAAAAATGAAGACCACAAATGTCATTCAAGAATTATTTTATATGTATATTTGAATAAAATCAAGTAAATTAACTTTTCAACTTAATACAAACGTTACTTCCGGTTTGATATGGATTTTCGGCCCGCCGGTCCGATACGTGATTTGGATTTTTGGACCGGTCCGTGATATGGGGTATTGTGACGTCACCCCTTACATCGTGCAGAATCGGCGTATTTACTACTAAGTATATGATAAATAAAAATATTATATATTAAGAAAAGATCAGTTTTCTTCATTTCTTAAATATACTATTATTGATGCTGTTAACGTTTTCTCTGATCATATTTTATACATTGTGACAAAATCTTACAAAGTTCTCGCAAATATGGAAACATTTGCTATCAGTAAAAAACACTAATACTTATTTTCTCACTTTCATTCATGTACATGTGCATGCATTGCTTCAAGTCATGTAAGGATCAGTTGGGGAAGGGGTTGGTGGCTTTGTGTGTTTTTCCCAAGATTGGACTGTAAGAATTTTCAGATAACTTCATATTAATTCAATAAAATTGAAAATCTTCATAGGGGTCGGATACCCATATCAATTTCCACCAGGGAATAACAGGATAGGCATTGATGAACATGCATGTAAAGTTACTTCAAAATTAAAACAACATTTTTAGAGAAGTGCAAGATCATCATACACATGGAAATAGAATTGAAGTGTCATAGATTAGGTTTGTTTTAATTATTTCCCATAAGATCCAGACTCCTCATCTAGTACATCCACTTCTCCAGCATGAGAAGAAACATTTAAACCTACCCTTGGTTTTATTTAGGCTTCGCTTAAGGATAAATAACACAAACAAACTTTTTATAGAAATCAGCATTATTTCTCATCGATTTGCATTTAAATTGACAACTTGAATAATGATTACCAAGTAGAGTGGGGGAATTTTATAAGATTTTGTCATAAAGTTAAAAGATTGTGCAAAATTTTGTATGGAATTATATAGAAGGCAAACTAAAATCTCAAATCTAAGCACCAAGGAAAACCTACGATTCCTTTATATTTCAGGGATTTATTATTTATGTCATTACAAATCAAAATCAGTCAAAAAATAAATATCAACCCGCGCATCCATTTTTTGTTTGTGGTAAGTACCCTTAACTCGTTTATATTTTATCATAAAAGATTTTTGGTCCTTGCAGATTTATAGTGCTCTCTTTCATACTTTTTCATAATGTCAAACACTTTTACACCCTGAACTGACCAGTATAGGGTTTGTAACAGGATCACATTACAGCACTGCAGTGTGCTGATGGAGAATTGCTGATAAATTGACAGGCGATGAATGGTTATGGGGGATTTCCTAAATGTTACAAAGCAGCTGAACAAGTTTTGCACACATTTTAGCACAGCTTCTCTAAGTAAAATGAACACACAATAAATATTTCAAGCAATATTTAGCAATTACCTAATAAATTAAAATTAAATCAGAAAAAAGTTATAGAAGTATATTGTAAAGAAAAAGTATGTTATCTGCTGTTCACCTACTGGAAGTTGTAAAATCCTTAACATTTGAACTGACAACTTTTTTGCCGTGCATTAAATATACCTATAAATGATAAAGTAATTGTGTTCCCCTCTTATCTCTCTTATTTGAAGTCAGGTACATGCATTACAAAAGGAAGGTTTTATTGTCAGAGTACACACATATATCATTAGGAAGAATATCATTAGGGATTAGGCGGAGAGTTTGCTTATCTTTCAATTATTGTATCTGTATGGCCTTATGAGTTTCTTGATTTATGTTAATGTGCAAGTATCTTTCAATAAATATACAGTGTTCAGTTATTACATGATCCTTGGAATGATGTTCTTCTTAGATTACTATCTTCAGTTTTATTTTCACACAATAATCAGATCTATAAATTTCTTTGTTCTCACTTATATTTATTTAAACAAAAAAAAAAAATCTGGATGTAGAAACACTTGAGTTTGCCGTTTTAGAACTGATCAGAGGAGTGTAATGTTACCTAAGCTAAACAATTTCTCGTTAAGAGCAATACATGTTTATGATATTGGCCTATGCAGAGTTTGATAACCATTTACGGATGGCAGACACCAGGGGCAGCACCACAAAAAACAGTAGAATGTAAAAGTATATACACATAAAACCAAAACTTGAGCATATTGTATAAAACAGATTTAATGCATTCCAGAATAAAAAAGGAAATTCCAATGTGTCCCTTTTCTAGGTTTTTATTGCAAAATACTCAAAGAATGACATTTTTTATAGGCACTATACTCATGTTAAGTCCAATGATACTTGGGTTATTAATCCTCCACCTTTAAGTCATTCACATTTAAGTAATGTATTTACACAGAGAAATACACTTGGGGTATTAATCCCCCATCTTTGAATAATGCACATTTGAGTATGTGTTTAAACAAAGCAATACACTTGGGGTATTAATCCCCCATCTTTAAAAAAAATGAACATTAAAGTATGTATTAGAACTAAGCAATGCACTTGCGGTATTAATCGCCCATCTTTAAATAAAGTACATTAGAGTAAGCTATACACTTGGGGTATTAATCCCCCATCTTTGAATGATACACATTTGAATATTTGTTTGAACAAAGCAATGCACTTGGGGTATTAATCCCCCATCTTTGAATAATGCACATTTCAGTATGTGTTTGAATAAAGCTATACACTTGGGGTATTAATCCTCCATCTTAAACTAATGCTTTTTAGAGTATGTGTTTTGAACAAAGCAATGTACTTGGGGTATTAATCCCCCATCTTTGAATAATGCACATTTGAGTATGTGTTTAAACAAAGCAATACACTTGGGGTATTAATCCCCCATCTTAAAATAATGCACATTTGAGTATGTATTTGAACAAAGTTATACACTTGGGATAATAATTTCCCATCTTTAAGTGACGTACTTTTGTCTATAATTTTGTACAAAGCAATACACTTGAGGTATTTTAAAATCCCCCATTGTTTAGTAATGCACATTTTAGTATGCATTCGTACAAAGCTAAACACTTGGGGTATTAATCCTCCAACTCTAAGTAATGTACATTTGAGTATGAATTTGTACAAAGCAATACACTTGGGGTATTAATCCTCCATCTCGAAGATTGTATATTTGAGAATGAATTTGTACAAAGCAATACAGTTGGGGTATTAATCCTCCATCTCGAAGATTGTATATTTGAGTATGAATTTGTACAAAGCAATACACTTGGGGTATTAATCTTCCATCTATATGATATGTACATTTCAGTATGAATTTGTACAACGCAATACACTTGGGGTATTAATCCTCCAACTCTAAGTAATGTACATTTGAGTATGAATTTGTACAAAGCAATACACTTGGGGTTATTAATCCTCCATCTATAAGTTATGTACATTTGAGTATGAATTTGTACAAAGCAATACACTTGGGGAATAAAACTTCCAACTCTCAGAAATGTACAATTCAGTATGTATTTGTGAAAAGCAATACTCTCGGGGTATTAATCCTCTATTTTTAAGGAATGTACATTTGAGTATGAATTTGTACAACGCAATACACTTGGGGTATTAATCCTCCATCTCTAAGTAATGTTCATTTGAGTATAAATTTTTACAAAGCAATACACTTGGGGTAATAATCCTCCATCTCTAAGTAATATACATTTGAGTATGAATTTGTACAAAGCAATACATTTGGGGTATTCATCCTCCAACTCTAAGTAATGTACAATTCAGTATGTATTTGTGAAAAGCAATACCCGGTACTATCGGGGTATTAATCCTCTATTTTTAAGGAATGTACATTTGAGTATGAATTTGTACAACGCAATACACTTGGGGTATTAATCCTCCCTTCTAAGTAATGTTCATTTGACTATGAATTTGTACAAAGGAATGTACATTTGAGTATGAATTTGTACAACGCAATACACTTGGGGTATTAATCCTCCATCTCTAAGTAATGTACATTTGAGTATGAATTTGTACAACGCAATACACTTGGGGTATTAATCCTTCATCTCTAAGTTATTTACATTTGAGTATGAATTTGTACAAAGCAATGCACTTGGGGTATCAATCTTCTATCTTTATATGCATACAAAATGGTTTTGTGGTCGAAGAATGATTTTATATAAGTCCAAGGTCATTGGCAAAAACTCTCCATACTCAATTTTTAAGCTTCACGTATACAGCTATGATATTCAAGAACTGTCTTTATCTTTCCTGTCAGATCTTCTTTTCCTCGCAATCTTTTTTTTCTTGTCCTCTTTTTTCCCCTTTGACACGATAACCTAAAACACAAACATGCCCAAAATCAAATCTTTTTGGAAACATCATTAAAAATTATATTAAAGATGTTATCTTGCAAAAATAATTTTACATTTACTTCGAAATACATCAATTAGCCAATTCACTATAGTAAGATAACTTGGATAAATAATTTTTTTTCTTCAAATTTTGAAATATTCCAGATAAATAAAATGTGATTCAGACTGAAAAAGACATGGTATACAGACATAGTACTTAAGAAAAAAACATGGTTCAATTTTGCCATATTTGGCCCTGTGAATTTCTGAAAAACTGAAACTGCATAGTTTTTGTTAACAATGCATTAAATATCACTGAGATCTTTGGTGACTTCATATCTATCAAAAATGCCATCATTTTCTGGCCAGTCAATGCATTATCAAGAAATGCGTCAATTTCCTTGTGTTCTGAAAAAGTCTACAAAAACGGCCAATTTTTAAAGCCATTTTTTGATATTTAATATAGAGCGCAACTCTGATCTAAAGTCTGCAACTAGTTAATGATAGAACTGTCTCTGAGGATTATTCGACATGTTTTACTTTTTAGATCAGAGAATGCGCTCATCTTATTTTTCTTAACAGAAAGTACTCAATTATACATGTTTACCTTAAAATTCAAGAACATTGTTGTTTCATACAGCCAGATCTCCAAGACCTGGACTCAGAGGAGAAAATTTTTATAGGAAATGAAAGCACCAAGTCTCTACTGTATTTTAATGCTTCAAATAGAAAATTGAGTGTTGTTCAATTACTTAGCATATCTACAGGGCCATTTTGTGCATAAAGTGAACTGACATTTTTATAATTCTTTATTGCCAACAAAAATAGTTGAAAACATTTAATTCCTAGTAAAACAAACAAAAATGATTAGGAGAACACAAAATAGTACCTCGTATTCGTCTAATTCCTTATCCAGCATTTCAAGAAGATGGCTGTTGATCTCTACTAAAACCTCTTCAGATTTTCTTTGCCTGCCTTCTAGTTGTGGCAACAACCAAATTGCTCCGTCAAGGGCATAGTCCTTTAGGGAATGTTCATCATCTTTGACTACCTGTAGATATTCTAAGTAGGATATCCACCACCTAAACTGTCCTTCATCTGACATGTTGTATTGATGTTTCTGAATGTTGTTTCTGATGTTTGGTATGTCTATTTTGTGAAAATTGCTTGGTAGTAAAATATGAGGTTCTCCAGGTGGAATGCCATTCAATATTCCTTCTTCTTCGGTTGTCTTCCATGTCTTATTGCTGTTGGTCCTGTACTGCATTGTGATATTTTGGGTCTCATTTTTACTGAATTTAAAATGAAGCGGTTTTGAATGATGCTTAATTACACGTAAATGTGGTTGTAGCCATGATTTTATATCAAAAAGACCTCTTAATTGTTTAGCTCCATTCAAGATATTTAAGAGTTTTGGCATTGTCTCCGCTTCACATCTTCTTAGTCGCATGGCTAACTGTGAAAATGCCGCATCAATATCTTCATGGGTGTGTCCAACATGGAGGAAGGACAAATGCACCTGCGGAATAATTTAATATTAAGAAATTAGAACATTCAAATGAAACTTGTTTCAAAAGTAGCATCAACATGAATTAAGAATGATATTCTGTACTTTTGTTTCATTAATTTATGCATGTTGTATACGTACCTCATGAAATATTGATAGTCTAACCAGCAATTCACAAAACCCTAGAACGAATCTGTTTTTATTTTCTCTTGCACAATTATCCGCTTGGATGTACAGCCTCTGTGGCAGATATCCATCCTGAAAATAGACATTTTTCATATAACTTATTCAGAAATATTTTTTTTCAATACGAATAAAATCACATCAATATCTTAATTAATTAAACCTCTTTCTAAAAGCTGTTAAAGCATCAGTTTAAAATCTTGCCTTTGAAATGGAATTGTGAATTGTCTTTAAAATAACATTCATCACCAAGTTGGAGTCATGACAGTATTCATTGATGTCAACATAAACATCGAATGTTCCCATCCCGTGGTTTAGTACTCCTTGTACATGGGTTTTCAAAAAGCTGTTTGGATCTACTCCCTAAAAAACGAAAATTAATGCAAATTATCATTTAGCTAAGGAAAAGTCAATGACATAAATTTTGCATAAAAAAAAATAGTTTATTCTTATTAATTGATAGTAAAGCATTTGTCATTATAAAAATAAATGAAATAGGGTGGCGAATAAATGAAAAACTTATTTTAAGAAGTAATATCTTAAAGTCAAAGGATATATTATTTGTCAGTATACTGTAGTTTTTCCTTCTTTTAAAACATTTTTGCTATTTACCTTCATAAGTCTTCCAGTGAAATGTGGCAAATTTGTTTTACCTGTAAAATATACGGAACACAAGTGTCAATTAATCTATTTTCATTTTTTTAGAAATTCGAATTGGTATAAGGAAAAATTTAATTTAACTCACTTTGATCCATGCCATCAATAATGATGCTCATGTGCTTCTGAGGATAATTTTTTGCAATATCTCTTTTTCTGTAGTAATATCGTCTTTCTGTCCTTTAGGTAAAAGAAAATGTAGGCATAAACATTCTTAGGTTTAATCAAATCAGTTTAATACCATTAATAATCATCAAATAAGTTACATAATTAGATTGGATCAAGAAGATGTCATACATTTGTGTGTGTGTGTGGTTCTGCTATTGAGGGTGAGTGTGCATATCTGTCAGTTTATAATTTTGATATTGCAAAATGTTACAAAAAGTTCAAAAATTAAGGGAATCCATATCTTTAAAAAATTAATTTACAAGCACTCTTAAAGCACTCACATTTGCCTCTGGTTGTGGACACGCATCATTTGTTTCAACTTTGTTCTCTTAGAAAGGTCACGTGTTTTTTCCAGCTCCCTTTCAATGTGTACACAGGTAGAACACTTGGAAAATGAGTTGGTCTAAAATGAAAAGGAAATGTCCCAATAAAGATAATGTTGTTCACAGGTTAAATATATTTGTATTTAAATACAAATTTATAAAATTTTTCTCTTTATTTTTCAAGGTGTATTATAAGAAAAAAACTTACTTGTTTTATCTTTAAATGGGGAAACTCATTTTTCCAAATGTCATAAAATGCAGACTGACTGACTGTGAGTGCATCAATTACAGATCTTTCCAAGCATTCAATTTTTTCCTCCACATACATGTTGTAAATGTCTCTTTTTTTAGTCTTGAATGGTAGCATCATGTCCCCATTGTCTGGCATTCTGTCAGCATGAAAAAATTGGTAATTCTGGAGCCAAACTATAGCACCCTCTTTTGCCATTCCACAACCTCTTGTATTCCGATACCCAGCAGCAGTTTTTCCATCATTTGCCATTCTAAGATAAGTGTAGTAAAAATTTCGGTTCATTCTCAAAAGAAACCGAAAACATGAACCACAAACTGTTTTTCCACTTTCAATCTGGAAACAAATGGAGTTTTGATTTTTCTTGCTCTCTGAGATCTTGTCAATAAACCACTCTACTCTTTGTTCAAACTGCTTTGTCCAGAATTTGTATCGCATATTTTTCATCATTTCTTCACTAATATGTTGGAGGCAATAATTTCGACATCTTTTCCTTTTTGACATAGATAGTGGTACGTCCCTCAGAGCTTTTCTGAGGAGTAAACTATTGTTTTTTTTTAATGCATATTTCTTTGGTTTACTGTTTTTAAGTGCTTCCTCAAAACTTGAGTTGCAAATACTTATGTCACTGCATATTTGAGATATTTGCCCAATGTCACTTGACACATCCTGAATAAATAAAAAATAATATATTTCATACAAAAAAGTTTAAACTAAAATATTTAGTAGAAGAAAATTGCAGAAATAAGGAAATCTGAGATACAGCATTACATCAACCAGGTAATTGTAAATTTTACCATGATTCCAGTTTCTATTTCAACTTTCAAAGGTTTCAGCTTTGATTTCTTTGGTGTTGAGGTTTGTTTTTTTGGTATTGGAGAGTAGGAGAGGAAATCCTGCAAAACATTATATATTAGTTGTCCCACTGCATTAAGTATTGAGCTTTTGGATGTAAGATTCAGATCATTCAAATTAAAGGTCAATATGTCAGTACAACTATATCAGAATTCTAGTTAAAAAAACTGGAATTTTAGTTTTACACATGTAAATGCACTTTTAACATATGAAAGTAATTTGCCATGCCTGTGTTACTCATGCCATTATTAATTATCTAGCCAGTTTCATTAACTTGTTTATTATCAGACATGGAATTCTGAAAACGATATAACGACTCTAGATACATGTACTTAATCCTTTCACTTAAACTGATATAAAATTTAAAATCATAAATGAAATATTGGTTACCCATCGTGGCACCTTTAAAAATAAATTTAAAGTAATTTCAAGTACTTTCTTTATGTTTGATAATAAACAAAATTATTTCTAAATAACTCTAAATATTTATAAAGCATTTTCTACTTAATTAAGTCATTCAGTTACATGTACGTATTATATCTTGCAAAATTACCTCATCTTCAAACTCAAATGGGTCAGTCTTAGAGGTTTCTAAAGCATTGTCATCTATCATATTTGAACTTCCATTTTCATCTTCAAAACTCATTCCCTTGAGGAAATCAGACAAGTTGATCTGAAATACATGTTTACAAAACATGATAAAAAAATTGAATGATATGATGTATCTGTTTGATATAAATACATTCTTTTCTTTGTTATTTCTATCTTTTTAATGTAAAGTATTCTTATCTTTATTGTAATTTTTCTTGATAACAGCTAATGCGTCCATTAGGGTTCCTTTTGAGTCAATTAGTCTGGTATGATAATGATCAGGGTTAAAGAGATGCATTATAGGTGGTATACACATGGTGCTAGATCAGATTTCTCATAAATGCTGTGAACACCAGTCTTGTTTATATTTACAACTGAAAATTAGTATTTTAAAATATGTGTTTCTGTTTCAGCAATTAAAGTTTCTCATTCAAATGATTGCTTATCATAAAGGTACTCTGGAGATTAAGCTTTCTTGACATTTTTTTAATCAAAGTACTCTTGTAGGAGTACATAGAGCCTGACTTATTTATAGAACAGTATCTTGTTGATTTGACATTAAATATATAATCATGAATTTTATAAGTCTACTCGCTTAATATTTATATTTTTCTGTACATAATTTTTCTGTCTGTATAAAGATTAAAATGTACCTTAGTTTTGTAAACTAATTGTGCTCTCGTGTATAATTTGACATAACTATCAAAATTAGAGTGATCAGTACCATTTTAATTGAAGCATACATAAAGTATCCGCTACATACACGGTTAAGAAATATTGTTTTGCGATAAAGTTATTACATGCATTTATTTTTTTTTTGTTTACATACAACTAAAGCAGTTATAATGAACTCCGCATATCAATATGATAAACCTCAGTGTCAGGATATCCCATTTCTTTACCAACATTTGACTGAACAGGAACATCATTTTCCAAATTATTAATTCGATATTTTCAAATTAATTTGCAGTTCGATACTATTGTCATCTGTGATTATTCTTTTTTTAAATTTAATTAAATATTTCACCTTGAAATAAAGTTGGATGCAAGCTTGGATGGTGAGGCAGTAAGATTTCCATCATTCTATATAAATAGATGTTGTCTTATCATGCAAGCCTAAAACCAATTGTGTTGCATGTGGCCCGTGTGTACATAGGGAAGTACTCTCTCACTGGTATTAACTTGCTTTGAAAGCTTGTCTAGCGGGAGGAAACTTAACTAATGTAGTATTTGTTTCTGATTTTAGAAAAAAAAATTAAAAAGTTTTGACAAGTGTACGTAATCATCATGAAGTACTTGAGAACGGAAACTGATATATTTTGAAAACAGTGAAGTTAGAGACAGTTGATTAACAGGCATTTAGAACCTAACCCGCTTTTTCATCCAATCAGCAGCTGCTAAATTTTCTATTAAGTTGCTCACTTAATTGTTAAGATTTTATGTCTATGCACTAACTCTGCGAGCTGACTAATTAGCCATTCTTAATTCTAAATGTAACAATGCCGATTTTCAATTCACGACATTTTCAGTTTTCGGTGGTGCAAATTGAAAACGCGTACGTGCTGAGAAAGCATATCCAGCTAATGCAGGAGCACACGTTAAAAATAGTTTGAATAATATTTATCATTGATCAAATCTTGCAAATTAATGCGCGTAAATAATTATATGACATTTTTGCACTAAAATTTAACATATTTAGGGTACCAGAAAAATAAATAGGCAATATCATTTTTTCTTATATCAAGCTTTGTATGACTTAAGTACTGATCAGTCATAAGTATCGAGAAGTTTAAAATAATGAAAGAAAAAGTTGGGGTCAGTGATGTTAATTTTGAAATATTGGACTAAATATGTGATTTTTCAGACAAAAAATGGTGTAAAATTTATCTCGAGTGGCTTTGATAATTCTCCAGTTTTTGGCAAAGTTTGTTGAAGGAAGATCTAAAACTTATTCTAAAAATTTTAAATTAAGACCTATATCAAATATTCCTATCAATATCATAACCGAAAATATTGTCCAAGTAAAAGTATGTGAGGCTTAAGTTTCAAGACGTTAAATTTAATAAATGTGCAGACTTGCAGAAATTTCTGCTAAATAGTCCCTGATAAATCTTGCTTCTTTGAAGATTTTTGAGCAGTTTTTTCTTTGATTGTTAAAAATTATACATTGTTGAATATAATTATTTTATAAAAATTGAATTTTAATAAATATTTTTGAAGTTAGAGGTTCTGCGTGAACTTTTCTAAAAAGCTGACGAGTGACTTACCTTAAACAGAAAAAAAAATTCAAAACAATAACCAAATTATTTTCCCACTTCCAAATTTAATGTTAAAAAATTGTAGAATGTATAAAAACAAAAAAAATTCAAATGCAAAATAAGTAAACATTTTTATGTGAACGTAAATAATTTATCATGTTTAATCAATCTGAAATATTTTTTTTTTAGTAAAGCTGGGCTCAATGTAGCTTGAATTGAAAATGAAGAATAATAGAAATTGTAATAATGAAACACTGGTATCCAATGCTTATTCTCTAATAAGCAGTTAGGAATGTTTCTTTGTGCAATTACATTGATTTATATTGATAAAATATATACACTGTATATTTAAAGATTATGGTCATAACTGGACACAGAAATTGCAACTCTTTATGATTGTATGCTTAAAATGATTCCACTGCTCTAGCACATATTTTCATTTTTCAAGAGAATGACACATGTAGTACATTTATTGGATCTGACTAAACACACTACATTCAAATTTTACTTACCACAGAAGAATCCTCTGGTGTGTCAGAATCTTCTGTTAGTATCACAGTTTCTTCTTCAAAACCCGGTGTACACAAAACATCAGGTGTAGAAACGGATCTTACAATATCATAGTGGTTGCCATCCTTATGATAAAGATATATGGCTTTGCCATCAGTCTGAGATGTAGGTTTGAACTCTAACCAATCATGTTTTGGTCCATACTTGGTATAAACATAGATGGTAATGTTAAAACATAAGGCAGAGTAATGTAGCTCTATTTCTGTTCCCCAAACCCCACGTTCTCGCATTCGACTTCTTTCCAAGTACTCCCTTGGATACTCATTGTTATATATTGCTTCCTTCCTCTCAGAAATAAAAGATGTGATAATTTGTCTAAAATAACTGTGTTTTTCTTGGTCACCACAAATTGCACAAGCGAAACACCGAAATAAACAATTTCCATCTCCTATTATCTTTAAGCAATCCAAGGGTTTCCCAAGATTCTGGTTGTCATAAATCTCATCATACAGACCCAAGTCACGGAATGTTAACCCAATTTTTTCACATGTATTTTGTTGCCATTCTTTAGAAATAGGATGAAATCTTCTTAATAATTTATTCATGTTCCTTTCATATTGGACTCTAACAAGCTAGTGCTTTTAAATCTTGAAGTTAAAACCATCTTCTGAGTCTGATAAGAGCACGCATGCGTTGTATTATTTCTCTTTGATAAGAATCTGCTTCTGCCCTTTGCTCTTCTACTAAGTAAATACTTGACCATTCTGAGCAAGTAACTTCAAAACATCAAATGCGAAATGGATTTGAGTGAAGTTGAGAAGAATGAGGAAAAGTGTGAAAGTGAGGATCAAGATGACACAATATTCAAAAGCCTTGATGCCGAAATGATTAGGAAGAATTTGAAAGGTAATCAAAATTCTTTTAAAAATAATTCTCTAATTATCCAAGATATCAAAAATACTTTTTCTACTCAGAATTTTAAGGATTTTTCTTATTTCTATTTTTTATTGTCCCGAAATGATTGGCTGTGAAAATATTATCGGTTTATGTTTCCTGTTGATTTTTATTGTCAAACACCTCCAATAAGTCAAATAACTCTGTTGTGAAAAATATTTAATAGATTTATATATATATATTGTAGCAGCCCATGTGAAAGTTCACATTGATAATTTGATCCCACCAAAAGATGGACACTCCATAAGAGCTATCAGTGACAAACACGTCCAAGATCTTGTAAAGTCCTTTCGAAAATCATTTGATCCATACACGGTCCTCATAGGATTAGCCTCCACAAAAGCGGACATCTCTAAAATGTCAATTCCAAACCAGGAGCCTGTGGAAATTCTAGGAGGAAACCATACCGTTGCAGCTTTAAAGCAACTGGCAGGAGAAAATAGTGAGGTTTAAAAATATGTGTACATGGACATATACACAAATCTCACTGAAGCTCAGGCTCTTTCATTATCCTATAAGCATAATGAACTACATGAAAACTCCCAGGAATTATCTTTCTCTGAGAAAGTTGTCTTCTTTCGTACAAGTTTTTTGAAAAACAAAGAAAAACATGCAGGAAAGCCACAGAAGCACATTTCAATGAGATGGAGGTCTGAGATAGGTGCAATCCTCAATAAATCCGTAAGTACTTTGCTTTCATAATTACTAAAAAATCAGACATTTTTAAATCTATTGGTTCAAATTTAAGCTATAGTCATTTATTATAAATGTATGATTGAAATTGTTGGTTTAATCTCTTACTTTGCATTTTAGTTCACAAATAAAACATTTATTTAAATATAGAATGAAGTTGAAAACTGAGAACTTCATTTTGAAGTGTAATCAATCAACTAAGATTTTACTGATCCTTCAATAACGAAACATTATGTATTAGATGGACAAGACATATATCAAGTCTGGATATGCCTCTGCAAAGTACTCATCAACTATTTTAATTTTTTGTCTGTATGTTTCATGCAATGTCAAGAAAATTTAAATAATTTGATTTCTTGTTCGGTTGGGATAAAACACTAAAAACAATCAAATTTTGATAATTCCTAAATTTCTTACTTAACCGTCATACAATGAATGCATTAAGGCTGATTTATTTCCTTGCCAATTAATGTACTGAAAGATAAAAAAAATGTTCAGTAGTTGAAAACTTGAGCATAAAACGTCAGTATAATGTATACCTGTCTATTAAACGGATGTCTGCTACTGTAAAAATGCAATTTGTTTACATTTCCAGGCAGTTCAACAAAACAAAAATTATTTTTAACTTGGGACTCTATAATTTTTATACAGGACAAACTTCCATTCATGTCTGCATGCATACACAACATTCTTCATTATTTTCTAGCATTTATATATTTTATTGCAAGTTATCCTTGAATTACAAATAAAAAACATCAGGTCTTGAAAAAAATTTATTTTAGAATTCATGATTGAGGCACATGAACTACGACTCTTTAGGCCTGCATATTTGATGAAGCGCAGCTTTCGTTAAAAATATGCATTGAAGTTCATGGACATGTAACTAGCGAATTCTCAAAAAATCGATTCTCATACATGTATATTCTTAATATCTAAATTAAGATTATTTTCTGATGAATTGCCACATATTTTTATTGATAGATCATTAAAAAAAAATCCAATATTTTTTACTTCAGTTATGTCTCATGTTTAGACATGTCATATTCTTACTCATCCCAAGGTAGTTCATGAGAATATAAAATTTTCAGAGTTTTTTTTTTTAGCCTTTATGTGTTTTGAAATTTATTACAATGGGGCCCTTTCTACCTTAGTTCAATTTGATTTTTTTAAATCTTCAATTTACTTCAAACCATTATGCCATTTTTGTAATCATAACATACAATACAGCCTTTCCCGAGTTTCAAGAATGAGAAAGGAAGTTTGAATTCATAATATATTTGTTAAACATGTTTATTTTTTCTTTATTTTGTTTATTTGGTGAGATAGAGCTGAACGTGAATATTTTCATTGATTTGTTTGGGAAAACAGCATGACCAGGGAGTAAAAGATTAGAAATGGCCATGGCCAGAGAACACATGAGAAAAATTAATTGGTCTTAGTGAGAAATGGATGGCATTACTGCCTGAGTTGTAAATATTTCAAGAAACCGTGGAATAAACCATTGAATAAACAATTGATCCATATTAATTATTATCAGTGATAGAGAAGAATTTTTTTTCACTAGCTGTCAAATAATAGCTTTTCCCACTGGTGCTTGGAGTGGGGGTCCACAATGAATTAAGATATTACATAGATACATATGATCAAAATATTAGGTATAAATTAAAATAAACAATTTAATAAAAACTGCCAAACAGTTTTGTAAAAAAGTTTTTGTTAATTATATAATTAGAAAATTAAGGAATGAATTTCGGTTGATTACTCCTCCATTTCATTGTTTCAGAGTCATAAATTGACACCGACAGTGTCTGTGTCTAATCCCACAAAAACACCCACCCTTTGTCTTGTTATTTTTAATTAATCCTACTATCTGCAAATAAACATAAATTTCCACTTGACTATATTGGCTAGCTGGTTTGATGATTCTGATCCAGTCTGTCAAACGTGTGTTTATAAATATTCCAAATACACTGTCCTCAAAAAAATAATTGTTATACATTTCATTTTTTAAAATGATTTACTCATAATTTTTTTTTTTAGAAAATGGACTTGAAGAACTCTTACAAAGTTCACTTTAGCCTTGCGGCTTATGATGAAGACGTCTGGAATTCCATCACAGATGTTTTTCATGCATTTGAAAATCATGAAATAAAGGGCCAGAAAAAAACAGAAAAATGTACCCAATACTGTTTTGCAAACTTTTCAAAAGTTAAAGTTAACAGCGAAAAAATTATGCTGCTGAAAAAACTTTCCACGGGAAAAATCACACCCGAAGAATTTAGGAGCTCATGCCTAAGGTAATTATTAATTAAGCATGCATGCCATCTTTTTGATAATGAGGACTAGGGACAGAATCTTTTACTGCTATAATACTTTGGTGTGTAATAAACAGTCAATATAATCATTTGTCTGTAAGTAAAGGAAAATAAATGATAAATCTATATCGAATTTAGCAGATAAATTTATTTAAATAAGGACGTTTTTAGTCATGCAACATAATGTTTTTTATGACAGTAGTTGTACATAGTATTTTTATTTGTTGATAGTATCAAATACTGAGAATTAAAAGTGTCCATTATTAAAACTAATTATTGTTCCAGTTTAACATTCAGTGGTCCTTTTAAAAAAAAAAAGTACGACAATAAGACAAAAATTCCCCCCACTCTGTAACTTTTTTTTGTTTATATAATCAAGATTTTTTTTCTAGATTATTATTAACAACGAACTTGTAAAATATCTAGTTTATGTAATTGAAAAAATAAAATTTTGCAGAATAGATATTTATTGTAAAATGTTGTTCGTTAAATGGGCCACACCTCCTCTACTTTATTTTGCTCAGAATTAAGTTATCCACATAGGCAAATATATTGGGGAGGGGCGTGTTAAGAAGGTGATTGCATTTTGCGTATAGGATTTTCACAGTTTTTATTGAAATGGAACATACATTATATAGTAGAATTGTTTAAAAATTCCTTCGTTCACCCCTTTCACTAAAAAACCCTGTAAAACTCTTTTTAATTGGTCGGAAAAGTGATGTACTTTGCTGATGTAATCTACTGTGTGTCTGTTTTTTTTTACAGTCATGAACTTAATGCTCTTATTTATTTTGTTTTAATAAGATTTGGTTTTATATAATTTTAGTGGAGGAAAGAACAATGAAAAAACAACTGTCAGTCAGGCTACAAAAAGGAAATCACAGCAAAAGTAAGTAAAAAATATTAGCTAATGACAGTGCCATTTCTGGTTACATAATGTACATACAGGTACAAAATTCTTCAGAAAGGTATAGAGATCAACCAGTTGGAGAGCTGGCTTAAGGGGTGAAGTTCTCGGTAGCTGATGGGATTTAGGTTTTAGAACAATTTTCCTTTTGCTCTATGTATATCAAATACAAATTCACATAGGGACAAAATTATTATTATTTTAAGAATGCAAAGGAAGGACATGAATCCTTGTCTTATTAAATATTAAAAGATTTTACTAATATTGGCTGTAAGGTCATTTTGCAATGTCAAAAGTCAACGCTGTCAGATAATTTAGATAAGCAATGAAGATAGCCGACATCTGGCTTGTCTGGGATCATTATGAATTGGGAACGATTCTCACGGTTGTCCACAGCAATTCTGGCACTAATTATAAAAGAATTTTAGTTCATTTACTGGAGATTCTCTTCAAAGGAGTTATTACTGAATAAACAAATATCTGCTATCTGCAGTCTGAGGCAATTTACAAATACTACAAGCATAAGTGAATCAAAATAACGGATGGTCAGATGAAAATAATCAACTTGATGAATTTCACTTTCAAAGACTAAAGCATTTTAATAGAAATCCGTTACAAAGCATGCCCATTATAGCTAAGCTAATTAATAAATGACAATAAAATTTCCTTTTTTTTTAGTCCAAAAACAAAGCAAATTTACGATCATCAGCATTCTATCAATTAATGCCAAAAATGAACCTTTATGATTTTCAAATTATTTACTTTGAAATTAAGATTCCAAATGAATCTTTTATCATTTTTAGAAAAAAAATATTTTGAATGTTAAACCTGAAAAAAACTTTCTTTTCTCATCCTTATTTTTTCTTTTCTTTGTATTATTGTTTATAAAGTTTACTGATTATTAATTGATGTTAAAGAAATAAATCTTAATTTATATATGCAAGTTATGAAAATTTATAATTTGTATAAAAGTGTGTCCCCTCTTTAAGAGAAGGCAGAAAGACTATAGACAAGACAATCTGATCCCCCATGTCTACTAACCGTTTGTCAATAAATGAAAAAAAGATAAATAAATTTAGACCATGCATATCCTGATAATAATATGATTGTTCTACCACTTGCATAATGTATTGATATTTTCTTCTCTTTAGCATTGGAAGTAAACCTGATGAAGTAAATGTTGAGGTTCCTTTGAACAATTCAAAGTCTGAAAAAAGGTTAAAATACTTAAAGAATTATTTACTTTAAGGTAGAGATTGATAGCTTGTCAACAAAAAAACTACCCATTGAATTTTTCTGAAATTTTTATATGTTTGTGTTGAGTCCTTGTTCTAAATCATATCAAAAATTCAAGGCAGGTCATCGGGCTAGTTTTAGAGAAATTTGACAATTTTAATATAGCCTTCATCAACCACAGAAGAGCTGAAAAAACAGGGTAAAATAATATAAGAATATGATATGAAAAGGGCTGTAAATTTTTTATTGCTATATCAATTATCATTTGTTTTATATGAATTCAAACATCTGTCTGTATGGATTAATATTTGACATCAATCTTAAATTTATCAAGCTTTATGAGCAAAAAAAAGAATCACATTTACCAAGATGCATGGTCAAATTAGGCTAAAATATTGCCTACTCATTGCACACAGTCTCACACTTCTGCCTCCACTGTGAAAAAATTACCCATCAAATTTCTTTTTTTATTGCATATTATAGTTAGCCTATAAGTGTCTAAAATTTTAGAAAAAATTCATACTACATAATGGGGTTTAAATTCAACCTGGAACAAGTGTATTACCTTACACCCTACCCTACCCCCTTCCTTTGGAAGGTTGCAATTTTGAAGAATATGGTGACTAAGTGAGATTATCAAGAATTTATCAAAATATTTCACAGAAAATGAGTAAATTCTTTGTAATATTCTTCTAAATTACATTTTGTATCACAAAAACAATTTATACATGTACACCTAGGCACATGTTGCCCTGGTTGACCTTTTTGCACTTAAATTAAAAAAGATAAGAAGTATTCCTTATATCGTTCAAATTGACTTTGATAGATAGAATTAATCAAAATGTTTCAAAGAAAATGAGTAAAATTCCAAGTAATATTCTTCTAAATTACATTCTATATCACAGAAAACAATTTATACATGTACACCTGGTCACATGTTGCCCTGTTTGACCTTTTTGCACTTATATTAAAAAAGATAAGAACTTTCCTTGATATCGTTCAAATTGACTTTGTAGATTTATTATACATATGATTCTTGGATGAATTGTCAATGACAATATATTTTGACCAATTCTGTGCATAAGTAAACTGGTTTTATTTTCTTCCTTTGACAACAATAGAACGATTAATTTCACTTTTCTTTTAACAATTCCTTTTTTATTCCAAATACATGTACAACATAGTTAAGAAAATCAAGTGGTTATGAAGTTTTGAACACAGAATCAATCCACGGCATGTTATCCTTGTTTTGAAAATATTCAGATAAAAATGTGTTATGTATTACACTGTTAAATGAAGACTGCCTGGTCATCAGTTGTCAGGTATTAATACACTAAAGCATGGTAAAAAAAATACTTAATACATGGTAAAAAGTGTAGGAAAATCGGGTGATTTGGTTATCATTACATACATACAAAAATAGTGTAATAATTTACAAATAAAAGCACACAATGTATTAGAGCTAATAATTTGTAACTTTAAAGTATAGATTTTGCAAACAGATTCATAAAAGTTAGAGGAATCCCACCATAAACTGTATGTGATACTGTACAATTTTTAAACTCATGATGTAGTTCAACAAAATAAAGTGAATACATTCAGTACATGTATACTAATAGGATAAACTTGCTATTTTCCTTTTTTGTCTTATTGGCTAACAAAGATCAATGTAAACATGTATGCATTTCTAATTGCCCTCGTATGCAGCCAGTTGCGTCATGTTCAAGGATCCTGACAATTCCGTTGTTTTTATGTCAATACAACAAAGATGTTCTTTCATAAGGATCTACATTGAGAAAAATTCATTCTGTATATTCAGATTTTGAAGCACGTCTTATGGTGCGATATGTCCGTTCCTCTTTACCGTCTCCTTCTGGTAGTTCTTTTTCTGAAAAGAACAAAATATTTTAATACAATAAGAATGAAAATACATGTTTTACTTCTTTCTTACACTGCAAACATAGTATGAATATGTCTATATGAATATAAGACACTTTTGAGATACCTTTTTTATATAATTTCATGAATTTTTTTAATTAAATGCATATAAAGTCAGCCTCATTAATCTGGGCACTTTTGTTCTCAAGGAAATTATTTGGATTAATGAATTGGCTTAATTAAACAAACTGGTATATAAGGATAAAGATCAAATATTTTAGTTTCTAAATGTAGGCCACACTCTAAGGCCAAGACCATGGGGTTAAAGGAAAAGAAATAAACATGAAATACAAAGACTCAGCACAAACTGTTCAAGAGTTAATACCAAAGGATCAAGTTTTTGTGGAAATAAAAAACTACATGTACCTATCAGTGACACATCAATGCATATACAACTAGCAACCTAACTTATATGTGGAATTAAAATACTTTTCGTTTTACATCTTATTCCATTTTTTTAAATTCAGTTTTGTCCCTAATTACCTTATTGATATAAATCCAATATTCTTTTGCAACACTGCAGATGACACTTGATTAGCCAAGGATCCTATATTTCCATGGGATCTGTAACATGATGAAAATAAAATAAAGTAAATAACTTGATCTATTTTTTTTTTAAATGTAGAATTTATTAACAATTTTGATTTATTTTGCAAATTTAGCTATGATAATGTGAAGAGGTCAATATTGTTAAAAAACCATGTCAATTAAAAGTTTTTTAACAATACTGACTTCTTCATATTATCATACTAATTCTTTGGTGCTTTAGTTGAAACAATTTCATTCAAGATAGAAAACATCTTTACATTTTACAATTTTTTTGGTTATTCAGTTTTGAATTCAATTTACAACATGACTTTTAATATGTTTATACACAAATATTTAACCATACATGTATTTTAGTCAATAGAACACCTACATGTAAGTAGTGATGCAGGGATCCCGGTTAGATTTTCAGTCCAGCCATACATGTTCCTAATTTCCTGACACACAAGTCTGCCAATTTATGCTCAGTTTGCTGTAGCAGATCTGGCTTGAACTTTCCTGAAATATTAATATGATCTTTGAGAAATTCTTGACTTAAGAAAATGCTTCTTTATGTATACAATAATACTGTATGTACATTATGGTGTTTAAATACAAGGACTAAAAATCATAAATTAAAATTTTTAATACATTGTATTATATTAAAAACACCCCCTTTTTATCACCCCCTTGGAAAAAATTTCTGGATTTTCCCTGATACATGTGCAGGTGTAAATTTAAAAAAAAATACAAACCAATGGCTATTTTGGAGTTTATGTAAAAAGCACCCTAGACAATCCTCTCTCCAGGTGACACTTGATTTGGTCACATTATTTCAGCAGAGAAAACTGAATACACTGTTTAGTTCATAGCTTGCTTCACCTGTAGTATTCAATATTTCTTTTATAATCTAGGAATATGATATCTTTATAATCAGGGCCCTTTTAAGCATAAAACAAAAACATACATAAATTTATTACATGTACATAAATATTACATAAGGCTTAAAAAATAGTCAGTCTTGTTTCCTGCTACCTGGCTGACCCTATTTTTTTGTCACTTGATCATGTTGATCCTGAAGTTGTTTCTTTTTTTTTCAATGCAACTTTTTACAATTTGCTTGTTATTTCAAAAATACAAAAGATTGACAAATAAATGTCCACTATCATTTATAAAAGGGGTTACAATATTAAATTAAACATCATCTGCCATCCAAAGCAAAGAAAGTTGCCATCCAAAGCAAAGAAAGTTCATACATTTCTGCATTTGAACAATTTAAGCAAAATATGTTTTTCCATTTTTTGAGTAACTAAACACCACCTCGTGTTTTAGGCACAGATAAGCATGATTACTTACAAATATGTAAAGTTTACATTTTTTACCAATCCGGCCTTGATCATGTTCTGACACCAGAAATGTCCGGTTTTATTCTTCTACTCTAGAAATTACAGTCTGGTGATGAAATAAATTATAATTTATAGCTAAATAAAACTACTTTAGGAAGGAAAAAAATCAATTAGGGTTATTGGTAATTGAAGCTAAATATACTGGTTGTATCAGACCTGTGTGTAAACAAACAAGTGTCATATCTAGTCATGATCGATATACTAAGTCGTAAATATTCACCTTATGTATCTAGCTGACAGCATACAAAAAAATCTGTTCTGCAAAAATTTTACTTCTTCCGTCGTGCCAATTAACATCTGTAGGGTCATGGTCTTTAAAATGTCCATACAGAAAACAACATCAGGGACAGATTGATACCGGAGTACCCACGTGGTGCTGCAGCGGACACTGGACAAGGAGTAGTTTCACCAAAATTATGCTCATGTTCGGTTTCAGTCTCACTTCTATTTTGATTCTCATGAAGATGCTTCAATTTCGAGAACCGTAAAGATTTAATACGTATGGTAACTTTGTCTTTTAAGTCGAGGAAATTTCTCGATCGCTTCGTCGGCCATCTTGTAGCATAGACAATAATGTGTAAATGGAGACTTTTATTTGACGGCGTTCCGGAATCCGGAAAAAAAGCACGTGCAAATATGCGAATTCTTTCTATCACGTGATTGCTATCGGTCTCTACCTTAATTAAAACATGTAAAAACACATCAATAAAATTTCAATAATTTTTAAGGTAGATCAAAACATATATTTGATACTATTTACTTGGAATTACATTGTCTTCTGTTCATATGAGTACTTCATAATGATAGATAAGAAATTTAATAATTAATTTAAAAGATATATGCGTGCTAAAAAATATTTTAACATTCGCACCTTTAATACCAATATAAATGTACTCTTTTATAAACATTTATAAATAAAGTTAAATATTTTTTTAAAATTCCTGATATATGTATTTTATCAGGACCGAGACAAACAAAGATGATAATGATGATTTGAAAGAAAAAATGGAAGATCTAGGAAAACAGCTTAAAGACACAAATAGAGAACTTGAGAATTCCAAACAGAAGATTAAGCAGCTAAGTAAGCAACTGCAAGAAATGGAAAAAGAAACACAATTGAAAGACGCACAGCTGGAAAATAAAGACAAGCAAATAAAAGTGAGTATATATGTTATAGAACATAAGTCTATTACAATAATGTCACTTTAAATCCTAAAATACTACAATCTTTATGTCTTTACATGTTAACAAAATTAATTAAATAAAAGCACTACATAGTGATACAAACATGTAAACATGTATATTGTTTGCATTAAAAGTCAATATACAAAATATAAAAGATGAAATTGTCCTTCAAAGTTATGAAAATGTTACTGTTTTTTAAAACAGAAATTAAAGAAAAAAATCATTGAAATAATGGATGTAATGCAGAGGATGAAGGCGTTGGACAACAAATCAAAGGTGGGCTTATCTTTTTTTTATCACGAATTTCATTTTCAGCATTAGACAGGCGAACAGTGAGGCATGGGGTCCTTATGGTGTGATACAATGTTTTTTGCTCAATGGAATATGGTACTACTTTTTAAAGGGGAAAAATAAGGGCTGACATAGAGGGTATAAAAGGTACATTGGAATTTTGAGCAAATATATACATGTACATGTATTGTTAAGTCCTTGATACAGAAAAAAGCATAATTAGTCAAATAAATAGACATGCATTCCCAATGATGGGGCCACAGCAGGGAAATTGTTTTACAGAGAAATAAATAATTAGTAAAACGTAGCTGCAAATTTAATATAGTATTATATAATATTTTTTTTAGTTCAGTAGTATTTTTAGTTAATAGATACATTTTAGATCGTATTTTCATACTTCATTTGTAAACTCGATAAGAACTCTTGTGTCTTTTAAGTTTACTTTTGAGTGGTGTAGCCCATGGATAAAACATGGATTACTCATATTTTTTTTGTTTTTTACACATGTATGTAGTATTGTACTGCTTATGAGACAACCTAAATGCATTTCATTGAATCTATATTTATTTTTTGCTAAAGACTAAAATAGATGAATTACAAAAATCACTGAAAGAGGAAAAGGACAGATGTCAGCTTGCAGAAGAAGCTGCTGCACGTGCTAGAACAACAGAGAAGGTGAGAAATCAAAAATACTGCTCAACTGTTGGTTTACTACTTGAACTAAGCCAAACTTTCAAGTGAGGTTTTCTGATCGGGAATATTAGTAGGCAGGCATCTCTTCACCTGTCTTTATTATGTTTTTATTATGTTATTAACTTTTTATTTTCAACTTCTTCTTCAGAACCACTTGGGGAAAAAGCTAATTGTCAAAAAGCATCAATAAATGAAATTGTTTTCAGTTTATTTACATAAAAAGGTCACACACTCTTTCAGAGTTAGTGTAAATTTAACTATTATATATTTAAGTTTATTAAAACCAAGATCTGGGTACCGGTATAGAGGGGCCACAGAAGGGATTAGATATATATTATTTTTAAAACTTCATAGCTTCGACTAGTCAAATTATTATGGAAGTTCAAATCATGTCAGTTGGAGGTAGGGGTTACCAAAACTGGAGAACAGATTTACAAGTACAAAGAAAAAAAAATATTTTCAAAAATTTAAAATCTAAAGCTATACATTGTACTTGGAACACGTGATTTTCATGTACACATTAACAAATTTTACTTAAAATAACATAATTATTAAAGTACTTGATAATTAAAACCATATTGAATTTTCTTTCAAATCCAGGCTCCAGTAGTTGAACACTCCTTGAAAAGAAAAAGTGACACTTCACAGGTACAGAATTGTTAATTGCTTTAAAATTATAAAATATACGCAAACTTCTTGGTAAAATTCCACTTGAAAATGAAAACTTTGAAAGCATTTGTTATTTTTTAATTCATATAAGTATTCAATGAAATTTTATCTAAATACTTGACTCAATATTGCTTTTATGTTTCCTTTACACACTAATTAGTCATTATACATGTATCTGCATATGTACATGTATAATGCTTAGATGTTATTTAAATTTTAAATAGACTGAAGACATAGTACAAAAGAAAATGAAAAGACAAGAAAGTGTACAAGACAAGCAACCAAGTGGATCCTCTGTACGTTACATATTAATACATAAAACTTTTTTCATAAACTTTCAATTTATATCACTTTTATAGTCATTTTGTTTTTGTAATTTTTTCTGCAGGTTATCATAACAGAAGAAAAAGATCTAGTACTGGTAGAGTATACCAAGGGCAAAATTTACTTTGCCATTAAGGATGGTGATTTCCTAACATATTGCCAACGACCAGTCGGGGTGATACGGGATGGACACTTCACACACGCCCCACAGAAACTTTCATTCACGGTGAATGAAAAGGATAGACAAAGTTTTGATGAGAAATACATAATCTGTTCAATGAAAGGAAAACTTGTTGGGAAGTGTATAAAAGCTGACCAGTTATCCATTAGCATAGAAAATCAAATGAAAGCCATTCATAAGTATATTAATTAAATGTAAGTCAAATATTTAGAAAGTAGAGAACTTTAACCAAGACTAAAGAAGAAAATTTATTGTTATACCTTTAGAAATTTGTTCCTATACAATTCTATACAAAAAAAGTCTAACATTTTTAATGTTTTGCTGAGCGGGCATAAAAAAATCGATGTTGGACCGCTGAGTGAGATGTTGGACCGCTCGGAGAGATGTTGGACCGCTTACGTCACAGAGTGGGCGGAGCTTAATCTCATTTTCATTCGCTGGTGTTAAACAGTGATCGATCTGATGTTACATCACGGAATTAAGTACAAAATACATGTAAATATATATAAAAAAAAAATAAAATAAAATGAAAGGTATAACAAAACATTTATTGACAGAGTTCTCGGGCAAAATGCGTTTTGTCGAACCCTCGAACCAAACTGTCTGCCTTCGGCCTAACGGCCTCAGGCAGACAGTTTGGTTCTTGGGTCCGACAAAACGCATGTTGCCCTCGAACTCAGTCAATAAATGTATATTATTCATTTCAAATTCGAGTGTATTAGCCATACATGTAGGTGTTAAATTGGGAGATATGATCTTTTGTTCACAGTGAAAATGTAATTGTTTCTCTTTTTGACCATATTATGTTAAAAACATTTATCTTCTATCTGTTTAATAGATATACAGAAGTTTGGGTCACCTTTCTATTATAAGTTTAAGTCACAGAAATGCTTAAAAAGACTGTTTCTTTTGTCAGTAATGTTACTTCTATACACATTTTGATTAAAGAAGCAAAATAAAGTTTATTCTAAAAAAAAATTGCCTACCTAACCTATATTTTTTCAGCCTGAAAGCGGAAACAAACATATTTTTTTTTCTTGGCCTAAAGATGGGGGATTAATACCCCAAGTGTTTTTCTTTGTACAAATTCAAACTCAAATGTACATTACTTAAAGATGGAGGATTAATACCCCAAGTGTATTGCTTTGTACAAATTCATACTCAAATGTACATTACTTTAAGTTGTAGGATTAATACCCCAAGTGTATTGCTTTGTACAAATTCATTCTCAAATGTACATTACTTAGAGATGGAGGATTAATACCCCAAGTGTTTTCTTTGTTCAAACACAGAGTCAAATGTACATTTTTAATGTTGAACGATTAATACCCCAAGTGTATCGCTTTGTACAAATTCATACTCAAATGTACATTACTTAAAGATGGAGGGTTAATACCCCGAGTGTATTGCTTTGTACAAATTCATTCTCAAATATACATTCTTCGAGATGGAGGATTAATACCCCAAGTGTATTGCTTTGAACGAATTCAAAGTCAAATGTACAGTACTTAGAGATGGAGGATTAATACCCCAAGTGTATTGCTTTGTACAAATTCATACTCAAATGTACATTACTTAGAGATGGAGGATTAATACCCCAAGTGTATTGCTTTGTACAAATTAATTCTCAAATATACATTCTTCGAGATGGAGGATTAATACCCCAACTGTATTGCTTTGAACTAATTCAAAGTCAAATGTACATTACTTAGAGATGGAGGATTAATACCCCTAGTGTATTGCTTTGTACAAATTCAAAGTCAAATGTACATTACTTAAAGATGGGGGATTAATACCCCAACTGTATTGCTTTGTACAAATTCATTCTCAAATATACAATCTTCGAGATGGAGGATTAATACCCCAAGTGTATCGCTTTGTACAAATTCATACTCAAATGTACATTACTTAGAGATGGAGGATTAATACCCCAATTTTTTTTTTGTTCAAACACAGAGTCAAATGTACATGACTGAATGATGGGGGATTAATTCCCAAGTATATTGATTTGTTAAAATTTGTTCTCAAATGTGCATTATATAAAGATGGGAGATTAATACCCCAAGTGTATTGGTTTGTTCAAATTCATCCTCAAATGTAGATTTCTTTAGAGATGGGGGATTAATACCCCAAGTGTAAGATTTGTTCATTTACATATTTAAAGAAAGCATCATTTAAATATAGGGGATTAATACTCCAAGTGTATTTTTTTGTGCAAATACATAGTAAAATGTGAATTACTTAAAGATGGGGGATTAATACCCCAAGTTTCATTGCTTTGTGTAAATACATACTTAAATGTGAATGACTTAAAGATTGGGGATTAATACCCCAAGTATCATTGGACAAAAAGAGTATAGTGGCTATGAAGATCTATCATTTTTTGACTATTTTGAAATAAAATCCTAGAAAAGGGACACATTGGAATTTCCTTTTTTATTCTGGAATGCATTATTTATAAATAAATAGCTGTTCTTAGTGGTAAACCTGGAAAATGGGCATTTTTAATCAACAATGTCAATTTAAATGCAAACTATAATGAATGATTAATTTAATATACAAACAATTGGCACGGGAATCGATTTTTTTAAAGAAGAAAGTTTTTAATGTTTATTTCAAATTGGCCCTGTATTGTAAAGATTTTTAGATTTCCACACTTTCATTTTGCAGACTGAATAGTTATTCAATGCAGCTAGATTGTTTTCGTTGATTCAAATATACATGATAGATGTATTATTATAGTATACACATTCACGTTTATAAGGATACTACCTTACTTCTGACCTTTGAAAAAAAAGAACTTGTTTCTTAGCAGCATTGGAAATGCATGCTTGACCGATTGGCCATCTACGCAAGTCAAAAACTTCCTGAATGGAAATCTAATAGTAATCGTCCCACACTATAGGGTTATTGAGTATGAAAGTGAGATACAGTCATTAAGAAATAAGTTTTTAACAGAGAATCATTACCGATACACATTGCAATATAATTGATAATAATACATTAAACACATTTTACAAAATAATCTTTAACGGATGTATATATTCAACATTTTGGACAGTTTAATTAGTGAAAAAAAAACATCCAATAAAGAGATCTGGATCCGCCAAAAATAGATTGGTCATTCCATGTATTTGAATTGGTCTAAGCACCTCATCAAATCCCAGTGCAATTATTATCTCAGCTAGCCTTGTCTGTGAGAAGAGAATTGGTGATAAAGCTAAATGATTTGTTCAAGCGAGACAGTTAATGGGTTTTGCCTCTCTTATTAAAGCATGCAGGGATAATTCACAACGTCCAACAATTATAAAGCAGGGATGATATATGATAGGGATTTTGAGATAAACAGAGATATTGTATTAATCTTATCAAGTGAATGTTTCCTCAAAGAAAGACCCAATTAGTGGAGTTTCCTTCAAACCTTTGTTCAATATGAAATGGAGAGTTTCTTATTTTAAGAGAACACTTTATTCAATGAAAGTAGTAAATGCATTTTAATTTTAATGAACTTGTAATATAAAAAAAAGAATGTTTATCAACATTTACAAAAAATCTTTAGTAAGTACTTTAACTAAATAAAGTTACAAAGATGACTGGAAGAATGTATAATTATTTCAAATTCATTATTTAGAAATAAATGTTGACAAGATGAATTTAATTGCAATGTAAGTAAACAAAAAATGCACTTATATTGATGGAGACATTCAAAACTATAGTACAGTTGTACTACATGTATACTTGTAATATAAGAAATATACATATCTCAAAAACGTCTGAGAATGTTAGACTATCATCTGGACCAGTCAAAAGAAGAACATAAATTTACTGGTGCTTTCTCACGATGTGTTGTTGATCTGTTTATTATTTCAAGTTTTATCTTTAGATCCTACTGAAAACCACATCCATCTGGTGTTTCCACTCCTTTGAATTATTTGTCCATTTTGGTTTCCAATTTTCTTTGAATTGTATAAACAATGAAAATACTTTGGGGGAAATCTATTTTTTTTTTATTTAAAAAGTTTAAGATTTTTTATGTTTTTTTTTTTTAAATAGAGAAATTCAAATCATGATAATTTAAATTAAATTATTCTTTAAATTGAAATTTTGAATTTATATGTTGGGTTTAAGAATGTAATTTTGCTTTAATCCACCTGATAGCTTACTAAGGCAAAATGGGAATGCCAAATTTTTATTTACAGCTTATGCAAAATGGGAAAAAACCATAAAAAGCATCGATACATGTATCAACTCATTTGAAGAATTGCATAAATTTTACACATATAATGTTTCCTTTAGTTCTCCTGCATGATGACTGATTTTTTCTTTTTTTTTTTGCAATGCATGTCAAAAACATTAGTATCTATATCATTCTGTGGTTAGATTAAATTGTACATCTTTAAAAATGTCTTTATAATATACTTTTATGGGGTAAAAATTTTGATTTTTTCTAAGAATTTTATGAGAACTTCAGATAACCTTGAAGCCCAAAATGAAAATTATTGCATAAAATAGATGATTATAAGCTTCTTTTCGAGACTTTTTTTATTAATTATGAATTAAATTATTATCCTTCCTGGGTGAGGATTGGAGTAAATTAAAACTACAGAGTGATTCCTCGTTGATTATTATACATGGATGTCTTAAAACTCCCCTTTCTTAATCCTTTCTTTATATTAAAGGGGGAATGACATTGCTTCTAGCTTTCAACAAAAAAGTATACATGAATGATTTTACTTTAAATCCCTTAACTTGAATAGGGGGTAAATTGCGAGAACTCATAACAAAAATTTATATGTTCATTCATTTTAAAACAGATCTGCAATATACAAGAATTAAAGCAAATAAAATTTATCGAAATATATCGGATATAATAACAGCAGTTTTCATGAGTGGATCTAAATCAGCTCCCCCCTCCCCCCCCCTCCGAATTTGCAGAGTATTTAAATGTATATATTTTATACAATTAAAATACCCTTGACAGATCCACACCTAAGAAAATGCATCTGTGTTAAGTGGGCGTGAAAAATCAATGATATGAAGCATAAGTAGAATATTAAGTGAGGAGCTAATCTCCCCCTCTCCTTACTATATTTTCATAGGTTTTTTTTTGCATTTAATATTTTACTTTGTTTTTTGCTTGTCAAGACATTTCTGAGTTAGGCTTTTTTGTTTAAGTGGGATGGACGCCACCCTCAATTAATTTCAGGTTTACGGTGAGGACAGTGGTATAATTTTAAC